TTTCAAATGGCCATGGAACAGCTGATGGAGCTCTGAGTTCTATGCTGGACTGGGTATGTTTAAAAATCAGACTGTTTCAAATGGCCATGGAACAGCTGATGGAGCTCTGAGTTCTATGCTGGACTGGGTATGTTTAAAAATCAGACTGTTTCAAATGGCCATGGAACAGCTGATGGAGCTCTGAGTTCTATGCTGGACTGGGTATGTTTAAAAATCAGACTGTTTCATGGGTTTCAAGCCCTGTTTCAAATGGCCATGGAACAGCTGATGGAGCTCTGAGTTCTATGCTGGACTGGGTATGTTTAAAAATCAGACTGTTTCAAATGGCCATGGAACAGCTGATGGAGCTCTGAGTTCTATGCTGGACTGGGTATGAATGTCATGTTCCGTTAAGAAACTCTTGTATAATGAGAAGGCCCTGCCGTAGCATCGATGAGTATTAATAGGTAGCGCTTTTTAGTCAATACTATGCTAATGATCTATAACTCAATATACCTATTGTAGGTCTGAATCGAAAGTATGTGCAAATAGTACAGGCCTGCCATGAATACCGTGCAGATGCCATACAGATGGGTAAATGGGTAGTAATTGAAGGCATTGTGGTAAAAGAGCAACCCTAGCAGAGATATCATGACAGTTGAGTCGGTAATATGACGTACTAATGCTTAGCCAGAAATTCTTAAGCAGGGAGCATAAATTGTATGTATCATAAGTGAAGAAAACCGTTGAATATACACGTAGGGTGGACCATGCGCGGGTCAAGCAAAAGAGCGATGTCACTTGTTGACCCATGAATCCGGTTGTATAAGCAAAAAAACATGTAGGATTGGTGTGTGCCCCAATGATTGAACAAACCTGTCAAGACAAACTTAGAGGCAATGAAGGACCACTTACCTGTGATGTGAATAGTAATGGAGAGACTTGTGACAGCATTTGCTGGGAGACCACGAAGGACACAACATGAAATACCTTAGAACCTAGAGCAATACTGTGTACCTTAAAAAGCGGGATCCGCCAGACATGCGAGTCCTACGAGGGTTAAGGAAATTGTTGTAACCATGTAAGCGTCAACTAATATACGCCTTATTGATTTGAAAGACAGACCTAATAGGTCAGGAGAAACAGGGCGCCCCCTGGTGAATACTTATATATATATACAAAAGAAGTAAAACATAACCTTTAATTGTTGCTGTAATAAAAAAATATACTCTAACACAAAACTGTATTTAAATATTTTAAAATTAGGAGGATATATGCCTGGAAGGGGATAATTATCCTGAGGAAATCACCTAAAGGATATCAAGCTGAATAAAGCTGTAAATCCCCCCAACCAGTATAGTACGTCTCTCAGTAATGGTACCTCTAATGTTTGCCAAGATAAAGAGAAACAATTCCTCTATGCTTTCTGGATAAATTCTTATCTCTTTTACCACTAACTGAAATAAAATCCAATAGGGCAAGAAAGTAGCATGTGTATATATCCTTGTGAGCAAATTAGTAGCAAGAAATAGTAGAGGAGGTCCATTGACTATGTGATCATCCACTAGTCTAAATACGATAACTAGATAGGTACAGTGTGATAGATATCGTTACAATATTGTACGCTCGTCACTGAGGGATGGAGGAATGGGGGAAAGGAAAAAAGGTAACTACATAGTAATACTAGGGGAAGCTATCACACAATAGGCTAGACTATGTCTGGTAGAAAAAGTAGCCCCGTCGCCCATATCCTTCCCAACCCTTCTAGTAAATCGTATTAGAATTATATCTAGCTGATCATCAGGAGAGACTAGACTAGTCGGCGTCCAGGTACAGAAATATCCTGCCTGCTACCTAACACGTGTTTCGGCGCTGCTAACGCGCCTTCTTCTGAGGCTTTTTTATTACAGCAACAATTAAAGGTTATGTTTTACTTCTTTTGTATATATATATAAGTATTCACCAGGGGGCGCCCTGTTTCTCCTGACCTATTAGGTCTGTCTTTCAAATCAATACACGTATGTGAGGGTTATCCCCTACTTTGGCCGCCCCTAGACACACACCTAGTTGTTTCCCCTCTGTGGGGTATCCAACTTTTTTGTTAATATACGCCTTACAAACAACTGAGGGGGTAACGCCAGCGACTAGAGCAAACCAGGTGGCACGATGTCAATCTTAACCTAATAGCATTGAGGCATATATTAAAATTCCAATATTGAAGAAAATCCGAAAAGTACGTGAATCGTGAACCCGTCACATGTATAAGCCCCTGTGCCTGAAAATAATGGGATAGCCGAAGACAGATAAGTGATGAATGTAGAGAATAGTTTAATATAGCGAGGGCCAAGTTGATAAAACCAACTTATATAGGGGAAATAACAGAGTAGAAAGGCTTGAAAAATGTCAATACTGAAGGAAACCAGAAAATAGCATAAATAACTAGCATCAGTATCAACAAGAATATATGATGAAAAGTATAATCATGGACCATAATGGCAGACAATCAAGTAAACAAATGTATGAGAAGCCACCAACAACCCCTAATCAGTATAACTAAACCAAAAGAAACCCCTTGTCAGCAGATGAGTCCCATAAAGTCTGTGTTAATGGAAGTATGGTGAATGTATATACACGTTAAGTTACATAAGTGAACCATATGTGTAGGCCTAAGTAGGGCCTGACAGGAATACCATAGTTAAATGTGACACTCTGCCATGGAGAGGGCCAAGTCATTTCATAGAAGACGATATGTCCCAGTAAGGGGCCTAATACCGGAAGCTGAAGAAAGCCTCGCTGTCAAGCTACGTATTAAAGGACCACTATAGGCACCCAGACCACTTCAGCTTAATGAAGGGGTCTGGGTGCCAGGTCCATCTAGGATTAACCCTGCCTGCTGTAAACATAGCAGTTTCAGAGAAACTGTTTACAAATGGGTTAATCCAGCCTCTAGTGGCTGTCTCATTGACAGCTGCTAGAGGCGCTTCTCACTGTGATTTTCACAGTGAGAAGACACCAGCGTCCATAAGAAAGCATTGAGAATGCTTTCATATGGACTGGCTGAATGTGCTTGCGGCTCTTGCCGCGCATGCACATTCAGCCGATGACGACCGAAGGAGGAGGGGAGTCCCCAGCGCAGAGGGAGCCCGGTGCTGGAGAAAGGTGAGTGTTTAACCCCTTCCTCCCCCTTCAGCCCAGCGGGAGTGAGACCCTGAGGGTGGGGGCACCCTCAGGGCACTATAGTGGTCCATTAATGAAATGCTAAATAGGTTAATGAAATTTCCCTGAAAGAACAGACATGCCGTTAGTAGAACCCGATTAAATCTGTCTGCTAGGTGTGGCATCGCAACTTATCTACATCGTAATTCACCTACTGGTGTAAAACTGTAGACAGAAAGTCAGACAGCATGACAGAAAGTTAAAATGTTGTATAACATGAACGTACAGGCGCTTGTGCTCATTATTACATTGTGTAATGATCGTATGCGTATGGAGGACCCTGCAAGGGTCAGCGTCCTGTTGACTGCATAGCTAGACCACGAGATTCTAATCTTTCCAGTCTCTTATGTATTCACACTCTAGATGACACGAGTGCGGAGAACCTGCATGGAGGTCAGCGTTGCTGGAGCAACTCGGGCCTACTCCAGCATCTGCATTGTCCGTATTGGTGCGCCTGAGCATGCACAGTACCGCTATCCTGGCCGCTGCTGGGAAAGGAAAGTCGTACTCGTGTAGCTCAGCCATATGCAAGGAATGGGTTCATGACCAGATATAGCTGGACTATTGGCATCACCTATCTTTTAGGTGTAGTAGACCTGAATGGAGTACAGGGCATTTACATGTCATCACCTGCGGCAGGGATCTGAGACATACTGAAATATAGTAACAATTAACCTGGATCAGGATCGTTTAACTGGCAAGCTAACTAATGCCAAGTGGCGAAACTATTCACTAGATTGGTGACAGGTGAGGCCCTGCTAGTTGCCAGGTGGCATGAGAGGCTCTATCCATAAGTTGGCGACATTTTAAAGCATAAGATAGATTGGGTTAGGCGCTCACTAAAATAGAGTGCAGCAGTAAACCAACAAGACTACCCAATCCCTGCTTGTAGTGACCAAAACTAGAAGAAAATCTGCGCCAGAAGATATAAAAATACTTAATGTGAATACAGCAAAGTAATGGTACATACATATACTAGAGATGAGCGGACACCTGGATGTTGGGGATCGCCGGGTTCGGCCGAACATTGGCAAAAAGTTTGCGTTTCGGACTCGAACTTGACCCCGAACCCCATTGAAGTCAATGGGGATCTGAACTTTTGGGCACTAAAACGGCTCTAGAAAAGTCCTGGAAAGGGCTAGAGGGCTGCAAAAGCAAGTAAAATGGGGGTAAGAGTAGGAAAAGTGCCCTGCAAACAATTGGGGTAGCCCCCAAAATATTGGGACATATAAAAAAAAAAGAAAACAATTGTTTTGAGTATAACAATGGCTGGGTGAGGCTGTTATAAATGTCTATTCTGCACAAGGTACAGACAAGTCTGGTGGGATCCATGACTGGTTCATTTTAATAAACGTGAGCTTGTCCACGGCTGCCGTGCTAAACACACATTCAGACAATACAGTGGCTGCAGGGCAGGACAGCACTTCCAAGGCATAAAGGGCAAGCTCAGGCCATGTGCCCAATTTGGAGACCCAGAAGTTGAATGGGGCAGACCCATCAGTCAGTGCGTGTAGGCGTGTGCACACGTACTGTTCCACCATGTTGCTTAAATGCTGCCTCCTGCTAAGACGTTCCATATCAAATGATGCTGCTGGTTGTTGTGGCGTGCTGATAAAGCTTTAACACATTTCGGCCATGCTAACCCTGTCTTCTGAGGTGCTGGCGGTGCCCCAGCTGCGTTGGCGACCTCTTCCTCCTCCTCTTCCTTCAGCTTGTGCTTGCACTGAGCACTCCGTGTCAGTTGGGTATGCCCTCAGCAGTGCGTCTACCAGCGTGCACGCCTCTTCCGATAACGCTCCAGTGAGGGAATTAAGGACGGCACGTTGTCCTTGTAATGGGGATCCAGCAGGCTGGCCACCCAGTAATCGGCACAAGTTAGAATGTGGGCAACTCGGCAGTCGTTGTGCAGGCACTTTGGTAACTCTAGATAACCTTGGGCCGATCGCACGTCCCCGTGACGGTGACGACGCATTCGGATGTCTGCCCTATCAACTTTCAATGGTACTTTCTGCACCTACCATGGTGACCACGGGTAACGGGGAATCAGGGTTCAATTCCGGAGAGGGAGCCTGAGAAACGGCTACCACATCCAAGGAAGGCAGCAGGTGCGCAAATTACCCACTCCCGACGCGGGGAGGTAGTGACGATAAATAACAATACAGGACTCTTTCGAGACCCTGTAGTTGGAATAAGTACACTTTAAATCCTTATACAAGGATCTATTGGAGGTTTGGTGCAGAGCAACTGACCCATGCGTGTTACAGCTGAAACTCCACTATCGCCTGCTGCTGCTCGCACAGTCTCTCCAGCATGTGCAAGGTGGAGTTCCACCTTGTGGGCACGTCGCATATGAGGCGGTGAGCGGGAAGGCCGAAGTTACGCTGCAGCAGGGTGAGAACGCTGAAACCGCGCACAGACGGTCTGTACTTTCTACAGCAGCTTTGATATATCTTTTTCAGGAATTTCTGCACCGCCAAATTCAGCACATGCGCCAGACAAGGGATGTGCGTTGAACCGGCTAGGCCCAGAGCTGCTACGAGATTTCGCTCCAATATCGTGCACCACCAGGCCGGGCTTGAGGCTCAGTGGCAACAACCACTCATCGGTCTGTTGTTCCATGCCCGTCCACAGCTCCTGCTCGGTGTGTGGTTTTCTCTCCAAACATATGACTTAAAACAGCCTGCTGTCGTTTCCCCCTGGCTGTGCTGAAGTTGGTGGTGAAGGTGTTACGCTGACCGGATGAGGAGGTGGTAGAGCAGGAGGAAGTGGAGTAGGAGGAGAAGGCGGCAACAGGAGGCAGAGAAATGCCCTGCAATCCTCTGTGGCGGAAGGACATGCGCCACATTTTGAAATGCTGGCATTCAGGGCGGGTGGGTATGGGGTGTACTTCCTCTTTCTCTCTGGTGATTTTTATTTTTATTGGACTGCAAGAAATGCTCTGCAGGCCGCAAATGTTCTATTTAGCACAAAAAAAAACTTGAATTTTTCAAACTGCGATGTCACAGCAGTATTTGACGGTTCTATTTGACTCTCCGATATGAAGTGCACACCCCAAATTTACTTTTTAGCACTAAAGAAATGTGAATTTTTCAAACTGCGATATAACCACAGTATTTGACATTTCTATTTGACTCTCCGATATGAAGTGCACACCCCAAATTTACTTTTTAGCACCAAAGAAATTTGACTTTTTCAAACTGCGATGTGTCAACAGTATATGACGGTTCTTTTTGACTCTCAGATATGAAGTGCACCGCAGGCAGCAAATGTACTATTTAGCACCAAAGAAATTTGAATTTTTCAAACTGCGAAGTAACCACAGTATTTGACGGATCTATTTGACTCTGATATGAAGTGCACACCACAAATGTACTTTTTAGCACCAAAAAATGTGAATTAGTCAAACTGCAGTGTCACAGCAGTATTTGATGGTTCTATTTGACTCCAAAGATATGTGAATTTTTCAAAGTGCGATGTAACCACAGTATTTGACGGTTCTATTTGACTGTCAGATATGAAGTGCACACCACAAATTTACTTTTTAGCACCCAAAAATTTTTTAATTTGTCAAACTGCAATGTCACAGCAGTATTTAAAAATGCCTAGATGTTGCCCACTGAGCTACCAGAACAGGATTAAAGTAATATGCCTGGCACACATGTAGTTGCAAGTGCCCACCTAACAAACAGACTGCTTATTTCCCTGTGGTACTGGGCTCAGAGCAGGGTACAAAAATGTAGTATAGCACCCACAAAAATAATCACTGTAGTTTGCAGATTCAACACCAGAATTCTTTCCTAATCTGTCCCTCACAGCTGCAGCATTCTCTCTCTACACTAAGAGCTCATGTGACTGCAGTTAATATAGAGGCTGGGTCACATGCTGCACTGGCCAATCACAACCATGCCATTAGTAGGCATGGCTGTGATGGTTTAAGTCAAACGCTTGTTGATTGGCTGCCCTGCAGCTTTTCAAAACGCGCCATTTCAATTGCCGAACTCGAACCCGAACTGTTACTGAAATGTCCGGGCTCGGGTTCAGGGTCCAAAATTTCGTAATGTTCAGTACGAACCCGAACTTTACAGTTTCATACGAACCCGAACTTTACAGTTTCATACGAACCCGAACTTTACAGTTTCATACGAACCCGAACTTTACAGTTTCATACGAACCCGAACTTTACAGTTTCAGTACGAACCCGAACTTTACAAACTTTTGAGTGAACCCGAACTTTACAGTTCGGGTTCACTCATCTCTAACATACACTAAAGGCAGTCCAATATTGTAGCGATGTATATAACCCTCAAAGAGATAAAAACAGGGAACAATATAGTGCAATATGTCACATTAATTATTTTAACACGTGGGTATAAAAAAAAATAAAAAAAAAAATACTAACTCACACTTTGCAAAGCTACTGAGAGCTATTAAAATATCTGAGCTATTTTGCATGTTATCCTAGCCACTCCAAAAAAGAATATTAAAAAAAGTGATTTATACTCGGTCAACTTTAAGATATATTGACATGATGAGCAGTTGATTTTACTACATTAAAATTGTAATTATATAAGCAAATTCTTTTAATCTAAAATTTTTACTTTTTTCACCTCCTGAATTTTCAGATTGGAACAGGTTTTACAGATGAAGACTTAGAGACACTTTACAACTTCCTTAAGGTAAGGAACTCAATTTTGTCATGCATTATGGTATATATTTGTATGTTCAGCTTGTGGATTTTCCTCTTGTGGCAGATGTGTGGAATATTTTACTGGAAAAACTGGACTGGCGCAATAATAATCTGTTCAGTTGGCCAGAAGGCAAAGATTACTGGGCAAATAACATGAGTAGATATATATGCAGTATATAAAAAACATTTGTTGGGTAGTGCTCTATATACAGTGTGAATTTGCATCTCAAACGTACACAGGCAAGCAGTATAGTAAGGTGGCTCCATTACTGATCCCCTGGAGCTACCAGGTAACGTAAGATTCCACCATCTAAGTTCCTTAGCTTGTGTGTGTGTATATGGACATCCCTACTTAAAGTTCATTGCTAACAGGTGAATAGAATCCAGCATGTAGCTACATTGGCAGTTCATTGTGTTGTACTGAAGAGTTCAGTGACTTTAAATGCAACACTGTGTTAGGATGCCAGCTTTGCCATAAGTCAGTTCATGAAATCCCTCACCTAATAAAAATACTAAGTGCCATTATTGTGAAATGTACCAATAAACCAGCCACAAATTGATAGACCATAAAAATTTATGCGTAATACATAAAATCCACCATCATCTGTTGCGTCACTAGCTACGGAGTACCAAACTGCCACTGCGAGCAACCTTGGCACAATAACTGTGCATTGAAATATTCATGAAATGGGTTTCCGTGACCAAGCAGATACAAGTCTCACATGCATAATGCCAAGCGTGTACTGGAATGGTGTAAAGCACCTCACCACTGTGCTCCGTGGAAATGTGTTCTCTGGAGGGATGATGCTTCACTATCTGGCAGTCTGATTAACCCCTTAAGGACACATGACATGTGTGACATGTCATGATTCCCTTTTATTCCAGAAGTTTGGTCCTTAACCCCTTAAGGACCAAACTTCTGGAATAAAAGGGAATCATAACATGTCTCACATGTCATGTGTGGTTAAGGAGTAGGAGTGGCAGATGCTAGGAGAATGATACTTGTAGTGTCTATTGTAAAGTTTGGTGCAGGTGGATTAATGGTGGGCTTTTTTCAGGGTTTGCTTGGATGTGGAAATTATATTACCTGAGCAGGCAGGTGTTTTTTTATTTTTTATTTTATTATTATTTTAGCCCTGCTGCGGGCACACTGCAGGCTGCCTTGGTGGGGGTGGATCATTTCTGGCAGCGTGAGGTTTGCACCGCCAGCAAGGCGCACACGTCCCTTAAAGGACCACTATAGTGCCAGGAAAACATACTCACTATAGTGCCCCCACCCTCAGGGTGAAAGAGGAAAGGGGTTAAAACTTACCTTTCTCCAGCGCCGGGCGGGGAGCTCTCCGCCTCCGATCCTCCTCCTCTCCTCCCTTTCGGCTAAATGCGCACACGCGGCAAGAGCTGCGCGCACATTCAGCCGGTCTCATTGGAAAGCATTTACAATGCTTTCCTATGGACGCTTGCGTGTTCTCACAGTGTTTTTTACAGTGAGAATCACACAAGCGCCGCTAGCGGCTGTCAATGAGACAGTCACTAGAGGATTTTAGGGCTGGATTAACCCATTTATAAACATAGCAGTTTCTGTTTTTTATAAACTGCTATGTTTATAAAAAAATGGGTTAACCCTAGCTGGACCTGGCACCCAGACCACTTCATTAAGCTGAAGGTCTGGGTGCCTAGAGTGGTCCTTTAAGGTTGGCTGCTCTCTAGTGAGTCAGAACACAGCCGCCTGATATTAACAGCATGCATACTAACACAATGAGTGCTGAACTGTGAGGAAGCAATTACTGAGGTCTGCAATCACCAGGGATACCGGGTACAAACCTACGCTACCTCTCTTGACCACTAGGCAGAGTTATCACACTTGCTTAAAGAAAGCCAAGGAGGAGGGGGGGGGCTAAACAGGGCACCACACACATCACATACAGCAGCACCCCCATACACATTACATCCAGCCAGGACACATCACATGCAGCCAGCAAACACCACATTCACATCACATGCAGCCAGTAAACACCACACACAATTACAAAAGGAGGAACTATGGGAAGGCACAGGGTGTCACATGGGGAAATCACAGAATTCAGATTTTTTGTAAATAAATCTAAATGGCAAAACTCATGCAAATATAACCATGGTGTGTCTATTGTAAGAATTTGAAGAAGAGTTGAATCATTTTTCCAGATCAGTTATTTTTTGCCTCCATTTTCCCATTCAGCGTTAATTTGTGGAAACTTCAAAATCTTGTGCAGCACCTTCCCAGAAGAGAGTCTACTCTGAATTAATTCCCATGGTTTTGGAATGGGATGTCCTACTCTTTTCCCCTTTGAATTGTTTAATTTAGAAATTCTTTACACTTGATAGTGGTTTTTCTA